CAAGTTGACTGCTCACAATAACCAGATAGCCATGGATTTTTTGTGTTATATGAATGTTATAGGCGCACGAAAGAACAAACTATAATTTTCTTTCCTTTTTCCGTTAGAACTAGCTCGTGGATGTCCTCCAATTCTTTCAAAGGGGTTAGACCTGTTCCCTCCTCCCCGTTCCACAGTTCCGGACTTTTTTGGAGACCCGGCAGTTGCGAATGTCTTTCTAACGCTGTCGAGGGCATTCGTCCGCGCGGGACCGGTAGTTGCATGCATTTATTGATTCTCCATCTGTTAGGATATTGTCACGCGTTCGGAAAGACAGTTTTGCGGAAATTTTATTGGTTTTGATAGCGTGACTTATTCTTAGATTCTTTCACCCACATTTGATTCGACTTTCCTTACTCCTACTTGACTCCTATTAATTTCCCTCCGTCTCTCTCTCTCTCTCTCTCTCTCTCTCTCTCTCTCTCTCTCTTTCTCCTTTTTCTCTCTCTCTCTCTCTCTCTCTCTCTTTCCTCCTCTCTTCCTTCTCTCTCTCTTTCTCTCTTTTTTCTTATTTTCCGGCTCTACTTTTGCGCTTTCCTCTTGCCATTTCTCTCATACTCAAGCACGGCTTCGCTTCATGATGCTTTTTTTCATTGCATTCCTCGCTCACAAGGGATTTTCAGGAGTCCCTCAGCTTGCGGCAATTCCTCCAATACAAATGCCTTCTTTTCAAGGCAATTTCTCCAATCAATCTTAGCGATTTTGCAATGGACATTGACGACTTTAATATCAACTATTTTCTTACAAAATTTAAGCGCCAGGACTTTGCCCGCGCAGAAAAAGAAAATCTGGCGACGCGGGGGACACTTGCGCCTACGTTGCCCAACCGTGGGCGAAGAAGTATAGATATCAGATGGCAGCTGCGCCTAGGAGCCCAAGTTTTTCTTTTGGATGACAAACTACGAAAAGAATAGTGCTGCCCTGGAAATTTCATACTAAGATCGAGGACAACTTGAACCTCCAACTGTAAGGAGGACATCACGGAAATGGTCGTGGACCCGGCAGATATTATGGTATCGATAACCTCTCGGAAAACGGTCGAATAGATCTATGCCATCTAACCATGATTAAAAACGAAGAATCGCTGCGGCTCAAAAGGAGGAAAATTCGAAATACCCGGCTACCTGGAATCAAGAAACACTGGGTGAAAGAGCAAAAGCTGAAACCGCCCAGGCCATTTGAGGAATGAAAAGAAGAGTCAAGTAAAGGCACCACCCTAATTTTTTGCAGGAATTGCCCCGAGAGGGGCCACAACTATTCGACTAACGGAACCGTGTGCCACGGGCGAGACTGCTTCCTCTGTGTCGAGCCAGAGTGCGCGCACCTTTCTAAAACCCTTTCTAAAACGCTGGCGGAAGCGAAGATGTCATCTGCATATTATCACCTCCTGTGGGATAGACATCTGCAGCTATAGTGAGTGTTACAGCCAAGATAGACATATTCTTAAAGAAACATTCACCTCCACTTTTTTAAAATCGGTCCAGGCTATAGCGGGGTCTGTTTCCTAAAGCGTGGATATGGCCCCCTTTGGCCCTGTCTCGATCCCATCGGCCTGTTGGCTCCTTGGTTTTGTGTTCGCTTGCCGCGCACAGGACCTGGGTTCGACCCCCGGCCGTGACAAGGCTTTTTGGATGGTTTGTAAAATCTGCGAGGTTGGATGTTTCTTTCAAAATTTTAATATGTAATTCACGGTGGACGCTCCCTGTCCTAAAATCACCTGTCCTAAAGCCATCTGTCCTAAAATTCACTATTCATTCCATTCGTCATTCACTAGTATATCCCGCATTCCAGATCAGCGACGCTCCGTCGCGCGCTAGAATCAACACGTTTTTCGCAGTGAGATCAACAAAACCAACCGACAAGAACGAAGCAAACGGGTGATAGGCTGTTAGAAACCTGCTTATTTTGCAACACGGTGGGTTAACATATCATCCGGGACTGTCCTCAACCAGCAGGAAACGCACATTCACGTAGGGAACTATGCTGAATACAACGTGGGCTGAACTTTTGTTTACCCCAGCCGGAATTTTTTGGCTATAACTTTTTATTTTACATTATTGTGGGCTCAAATTAAAACTTTTGGTCGCTCTATCTAATTGCAAAAAGGCATTGCAAAAATCCCGACGAAAATCGCGACAATATAGAAAAATTTGAGACCTTCGGCTGTGGGGGGGGGATAAAGTAAAATGTTACCCAAACGTGTTTTTATGAAACGGCCAGTTGTGCATTTCATTATAGGACTCTCGATTCACGGTGCGTGCCATCTAACCTTTTTCAACGGCGGTAAATGTTAGATGCCACAAAAGCGGATTGGCCCACAACCGTCTGTTATGTTCGATGGAAACTCGAAAAATCACTTGAATTTTGCTTTTTATGATCGCGCCAATAAAAATATACCCCAGGAGTTTGATCCAAAGTAATGTCATGCATCGCCAAGATTTGTAGCGGTTTCCGGAATGAATTCAGGAGTCAGCATGTTATATTATGCTCCCAGCGAGGCGATTTTTGATTCTCGTCGGGGCTTGAAGTTGGGACGACGCTTAGGTTGTGTAAAAGTTTTCGGTGTTTCCAAATATCTGTGCGAAATTTGGGGGCACGCTGTTTTTCAAAGGGTATGCACGACTTAATTCGAAGAAAACCACAGAAAGTGGCTTATTCTGGGCTCTGCGGTTTTTCGGCTTGTTTAATTCTTGGGATACACTTTACTTTACCCCCCAAGCTAGAAATTTTTGGCTATAACTTTTTTATTTTACATTATTGTAGGCTCAAATTAAAACTCTTGGTATATTTTTCGACGCGCTCTATCGAATCGTGTGGCAAAAACCCGACAAGCCAAGCGAAATTACCGAAAATTTGGAGATTTGGAGACCCTTCGGCTGTGGGGGGGGGTGTACATCCTCGTTCAGACTCCTGTCGTTGAAACAGCCAATCAGGCTGTGGCGCCCCCAATTCAGGTGTAATCTTGGGATCCGCTTGGGTCCTTGGATAAAACTAATTCTCTTTATTCCGCAATTATTTTAACGTTATGTTGTGACAAATCCTGGCAGTTGGCAGGGGGGTGGATGGAATGCCGGTTGTGGTGGGCCCGTCGGCAGGCCCCTGATGGGCGGGGCCTCGCCTCGGCCCACGACACAGGCTTAAAACCATTGCCTATTCCGTCTTAAAAAAATCGTACGATTTTCAAGATAACAAGCATTTATTAATCGGTCACATTTGTAAGAGGTAAAAAGTAAGCCTTCAATTTTGTAATTGTTTAGGTTACATAACGAGCCAACTTGTTCTATAAGTATTTTTTAATGCGAAACTACTTGACGTAAAAAATTTTTTGATGCTTTCACGAGTTCAAATCTAATCATTTATTCGTCTTTCGTTCAGAGGGCTGTTGGATTGAGGTCTTAATTGCACCCCAGGCCTCGATCCATTGAGTGTGAATGCAGGTTTATCTGAAAAGTTAATTTATCCTACTATATATAAAAAAATAGTGTCTGTGTGTGTGTGTGTGCCACTTTGCATCCACTTCCGTCTGTCTGTCAGAGGATATCTCAAGAAGAGACGGGTATTAGGCTACGTTTGATACGTCATTAGGTGCGGAATGGTCTAGGGATGACTGCCACAAAACAGATTTTGAAAATTAGCCATTTCGCTATTAAATTTAGGTTTTTTGTAAAATCTGTTTGTTAGGAATAATTAAGCTTAAACCGGAAGTGGGCGATCGCCTATATAAAGATGCAGAAAGGTTGTTTGTCATTTTTTTCTTCTGAATGGAGGATAATTATGCAAAGGGCAGAATAGTATGGGTCCCAGACGGGCCAGGGTTGAAAAGTCACGAAGCGGCTTTTCAACCCCTAACAAAAAAAAATTAATTTCAGCAATTTGCAGCGAAAATTTGTAGTGAGCATTTCACTACACTTTTTCGTAGAAGCTGGCAAAAAGATAGCGAAAAAATTTTGCATCATAAAGCATAATAAATCAAGTTATTTTCAATAAATTATTGAAATAAGAATAAATATTAACATAAATAAATTTTAGTTAAAGGATTCAGGATACTTTAGCAATATAAGTGATTTGCCCATAAGCTTACAATTTAGATGCTTCATATTTTCCCCATCGACTGCATTGAAATCATTAATTTGACGTACGCAACCCATCCGTCAGATATGACTAGCATCAACCTGCAAAAATAGTATCCGTGTAATGTAGAACCAAATTTTGTTGAAAGCGCAGGCTCACCTCAAAATCCAAAATTTTTTTTCATCAGCCATTATAAAAATTGGCATGTTGCTCTCAATCTAGAATGTAATACATTGATTGTGGGCGCCAAACACAGACCATGCCAAATACCCAGTAGCGCCTTTTGTTTTCGATTCAAATAAATCGAATGTTATTTTCCTTACGTTGCAGAAGAAGTATCTTTCGTCTATTTCGACGCAGTTTCTGAAACGATTAATTAAGTGATGTCGGATCGCGGAATTAAGCTATGGTTGCGGTCTAGCTAACGGTTATTTAGCTATGTGAGGACCGAGAATTTATTAAAAAATAAAAAATCATTGATTTTTAGCATCGCTGAGTCTAGTCTAATTATGATCTGAATTATTTTTAGCTTTCTCGTTAAAAGGCACCATTTCAAAAATGGCGAGAAAGGTTTTGAAAGCCCTTCACATAACGGAACCATAAATATTATAGTTTATTCAGTTCTTTTCAAAATGGACTAGGATAATTTAGCATTGCTAGTGATTTACCAGATAGCTTACATTTTAGATGTTTCATATTTTCCCCATCGACTGCGTTGACATCATTCATTTTACCGTACGCACTCCATCCATCTGATATGATTCGCATAAACCTACAAAAATAGTATTCGTGTAATGCAAAAAAAAACAAATTTGGTTCATATCGTAAGCTCACCTCAAAATCCACAATTTTTTTCATCAGCCATTATGAAAATCGGCTTGTTGCTCTCAATCTAGAATGTAATACATTGATTGTGCGCGCCAAACACAGACCATGCCAAATACCCAGTAGCGCCTTTTGTTTTCCATTCAAATAAATCGCACATTCTTTTCTTTGCTTTGTAGAAGAAGTATCTTTCGTCTATTTCGACGCAGTTTCTGAAACGATAAATTAAGTTGTGTTTGAGTATGGATTTAATCTAAAGCCCAGATTAGCTAAAGGTTCTTAACTATCTGAAAATCCAGATCAAAGTAAAAATACACTTTTAACATCACTTAGCCCAGTCAAATTATGGTCAGAATTAAGTTAGCTTTCTCATTAAAAGCCCTGTATCAGAAATAGTAAGAAAAGTTTTGAAAGGCTGTCATAAAACGAAATCTTGAAAATTGTATTTTATTCAGTCTTTAGAAAATTTACTATAATAATTTAGCAATGTATGTGATTTTCCAGATAGCTTACATTGTAAATGCATCATAATTCCCCCCAACGACTGCATTGGCATCATCCATTTTACCGTACGCAGCCCAGCCGTCCGAGATGATACGCAGTTACTTAAAAGAATAGCAATAAAATAGGATAGAAGACAACCGAATTTGCATAACTCGCAAACCAACCTCGTACTCATTTTGTCAGCAATGATAAATATTGGCATACTGCTCTCTATCTAAAAAAAAATTATCTGAAACGGAAAAAGCTGACCATTCCGAAGACCCAGTAGGGCCACGTTTTCAATACAATAAAGATCTGTATTTTTCGCGTTGCTGATAGAAGAACTGACTTTCGTCGATTTCGACGTATGTTCTGAAACGATTATTTAGTACACAACATAGAGCGGATCTAAGCTTCCAGTTTTGTACTGTGGCTAATGAGACCCGTAACGACCCAATTCAACCTTATTTCCATTCTATCGTAATTTCACTTTATCGAAATTGCATGTTTCGTTTTTTGTTTTGGTCAAAATTTCGATACCACGATTTTCGGTCACTAAACAGGTTAGACTGATGTATTCAGGATGGTTTTTAGCATAGTTAAATTTCGACTTTCTCGTTTTCAACAAACTGAGATTTCGACCAAATAATTTTCGTTGTTTTAATAGCGAACTCCTATTAAAAACCTTGTTAGTTGGCTAGAATCATTTTGACATAAAAACAATTTGCGAGTAGCTTACAAGAAATTTGCACATTTGCGGTTCAATTAATGTTGTGACGCCGATTGTCGCCGATCAAATTTCGACAAAAATGATTTAATCTACTAGGCCTTACAAGAATATAACGTAACACTTACCATATCAAGCCGTTTCAAGCATATCAACCATTATCATTTCCTCTTCATTGAAATTATGGATCCGATCGAACTCCGCCGTAGCTAAAACGAAATTGGTTCTACGTGAATCTGTTATTGCTCACCCTAACAGGAAGGCCATGCAGGTTCTTCAATTTTTTCCATTTTCCGTTGGTTTTGCATCTCATGCTGGCTCGAAGAACATTGATTCATCGATCTCGAGGGAACGTCTGAAACGATTGGATACTTATGAAACTGTCACGTTATGAAAATTAGCTAACGCCTACTTTTCCCTTCTCGGAGGCCATTTCCAAATAATTTATACCATATGAATCCATAGATACATTTTCATTTTCCTTTCTCCGATTATTGTTCACATGATGATGCGAAAAAATACGACTCGTCGATTTCGACGCCGTTTCTGAAAGATCATCAAATTCCAATAATTTTTGAGCTACGGATGGTTTTTAGAACATTTTATTAAAGTTAAAATGTCTAATTGAGCGCTAAATCTAGTCAATAGCATGTCAAATCGTCACCTCATTATCTTTGCCAACTTACAGCAGGAGGAAACCTTCACTCAAATCGACGACCGTATCATCACCGAGAGCGTAGAAAGTTCACGCTATCGTGATATAGTAACAAGACTGCATAGTTTGTTGGTAGGTCTGAAATGTCTGAAATAGCATCTTGCTGATAAGTATTATATCTCAGAAAAAAAAGCATCTCTTACTGTAGCCCCTTATGGACTCACCATTTAGTATTAAATTTTTTTAACAGTTTCTTTGAGCATTCTTCCTCTATGGTGTTTGGCTTTGCCGCTTCTCCTATTCCCATTCCGCTGTTTTCTAAAAAAAGTTGATTCTAGCTTCATGAAAAATCAACTTACTGAAACGCGAATCCAAATAGACTACGCTGTCGTCTCCGCTTACGAAGATTTTTTCAAATCCTGTTTTTGAACATTCGTCCTCGATTGTGCTTGGCATTACAGCTTGCTCGTCTGATTCGGATTTTCCTAAAAAGAGTCAAGGAAAACTGCGGCACCAAAGCTTTATTGTAACTTGTTAAAAACCATCTGATGGGTTAATGTTTTTCGAAACCCACCAAAGTAAAATTAAATCCTTTTTCTTCAAGCACACTGGCCCTTGTTTGTTATTGGCAATACAAAGACGCGTCAATGTTGAGCTTCTAGAAAAGGGTAAATAAAAACAGATCCGGGGTAGCTTTGCCAATAGTGATTATGTTTTGTTCATGTTTTTATAACAGCTTTTTAACATCTAAAACCCACATTGCTACCTTCCTGATGAGCATTCGTCCGCGGTGATGTTTGGTTGGCAAGGACACCTAAAAAGTGCAAATTAACGTGGATATTGCACGATAAATTGCCGGGTGAATTTTTGTCGCAAAATTGTGTCATCTGGTTCAAACCCTTCGAGAAATTTTTGTGGCTGAGCCGCGGTGGGCAGTAATCTCACCTGTGGAGCTTTTTCAAAATTTCCCCTCCTTGAGCATTCTACCGCGGTGATGTTTGGCAGGTTTTTTTGACGGTTATTAGTGCCATTGCTCCTAGAAATACAAGTCAGAAAAGATTATGATTGAAAATGTAAACGACTATATTTATTCCGCCCTTAAAATCGACTTACCATGTTAAACAGAGCCAAGTGAATTCGTGTTTCCCGGTATCTATTTTGAAAATTGTTGGTTAAACAGATATAATCAATCTGTTTTGCATCAGCTGGCTGACGATTTGGCCAGCATAATCCTATGCCCTTTGTTCGAAGGCATGAACTTGGAGAAATCACACAAGTCGAAGCTTGGCCTAAAAATTTGACTAATTAAAACAAAGGGCAACGAAAAGACGGAAGAAAAATACTGCGTAAATCAAAGAAAAATTTCACAAAGTTTTAATAACAGCTTAGCGAAACCATTCTGTAAGAGAGAAACGACAATTCGCCGATATGGATCGCACATTGGCGTCTACTGACCTGATAACCGATAGCCCTACGCGCGACAACCCCATTACACCATCTAATCGACCGGGGCCGCACTCTGGCTGTTCCGTTTTTTTGTTATGACGTATCAGCCGATTTTTGTTAACGCTAAATTAAACACCTAGCTGGGAATTTCGATTTTTCGACGCCAAATTTCGAAAACAGTGCATATCTCATTCACCATTTGATCCCGATAAAAAGTTGAGCATATAACCAGTCACACTCTTTCTTTTCCGGCTTTTCCACCACGCTCCAAACTAAATTTCCTCGAAGTTGGCAAAAAAAATACAATTAATGTTTTCAGTTTGCTCCTCAACTTGCGGCGATTTCACCAATGCTTGTGCTTTCCGAGAAAAAGCATGCGATCTTCATGGATCTTGTCAAGAATTATGGATTCTTCAAAAAAATGAGATTCCGAGGAAATTTTTGCAAACTTAGCAGGTACCTTTTGCTTTTGAGCTTTGCCTATCAGACTACGAGTCTTGCTTTAAAAACGAAAGATGATGCGGCATAAATTCTATCATACTAATATAAAATATTTTCAGCGAACCTTCCGCGTCCTGCAATGGGCACTGACAGATCTCTTTTAAATGGTTGGAAAGAAAAAGGTAGGCGAAAAAGACAGCCAGTGGAACGTGATTTAGGAATATGGATCTATTCTACTACTACGACTGCGGAAACGAGCGTCTAACCTAGCGAGAAGAAATCACATCGCGGAAAAGTTTCCAAATTTGATAAAAGAAATTTGAAAACGAAAGGAAAACGAAAGAAATTTGATACACTATCAACCTTGAAGCTAGAAATATTTGAACTTCGGAAAGCTGAAAATTCTTCTACTGGCCCTGCCACTGCCGGATAGGGTGATCGATTACGCTGCTGCAAAAATGCTGGTGAACAAATTTCTTTGAAGACATGATGCGGCGATCGATGAGAGTCGTGGATGGTTTTGTTGAAACAAAAGCCAAAAGGAAACGACGACAAAACTACCGATCGCTAAACGAAATCGAGTGGAGAGGAGTTTTTGGTTACCAAAGCAGGTGGAAACTCATACTTCAAAAAATTTTGCAAGAATACCTGGCCGACCCACATCGCGGAATACATGTTACGGCGCGGAAAGGCTCGGCAGGAAACATCTGGACCGTCGCTGGGCCACTGCTCTCAGCAAATTGACGACTTCCTTCCACTGATGCAACCATGTCGTGTCGTTTGTTTTATGGGAGGTATGCTTTTACGCGTAGCCAACCTTTCGATTTTTATGCACCAATCAATTATTTTCTTTCCAGGTTTCACGGTGCTTAGCCATTCGATCCATCAGCAAAATCAGCTGCAATCAATCGAGTGCTTTGATAAAACTTTTTCTGAATATGGACCTGCACATAATATAAAAGGCAGCACAGTGGTTGATTGGGTGATGAAAAATATGGAGATTGCGTTCCTTAAAGAAACTCGTAAGCCGAGATTCGAGTGGGCGGGGATCGAATCTCTTCAGAAACGAAAAGTTGGGCGCCAAAAAGTACCACACGATGGATCTCGTTGCCAAAAACGTCAAGGATAATTTTTTGAACGGACTCGAACAGATTGGCTCAGAACGCGGCAGTTAGATCTCGTAATGCCCAAGTTAATCAATTCCTAGGCTTATTCGTGAGTCACTTTGCCTATCAAATGCGGCTGTTCCAAACCGCCTCAAATCGGAGGGGTGGACGTGGGGTGATAAGGCTGCCCGGCCGCAGAAGAGGCACGCATTCAGGCGAGCCTGAAAGACTTAAAACACGCATTTATCGCACTGATCGGGCTTCCAGCCAATATTTTTTGCGCTTATGCTTGGATTTTTTGGAAAGACTTCAAAGCGACCGCCCGAGGATGAGCATACTGAGATAGGTAGGGCGTGGTTGGTTTGCTAAATCAAAAAAACTCGTTCTCTAAAAACTGTGTTCCGAGTCTTAGTTTATATTATTAGTATTAGTAAACTCGCTTAGTTTATTACTCAAACTGTTTATACAACTGGACGGGAAACTATTCCAAATATATATTCCAAAAATCAGAAGCTCGAAAATCAAAATGTCGAAAATATATCTTATTTTGGCCTTCCGAAAGTTAGGAAACTGCCGGACAACGGGCCCCACATGGCCTTCCAAAATTTGGCAATCTGCTTCGATTTTGGGTTCCGAGATTCTAATTTTCGAGATTTTTAGTTTCGAGTCTGTTTTCGACATTTTTATTTTTCCAGATTTTCCAAATTCTGATAGAAAATTGGGCTGGAGTGGCCTTTTTCCCGCTTTTTCCCGGTTTTATGGTTCGAGTAGCATCCGTTAAGATACACGCCGCGACTTTTCTCTCGACAAGCAGTTAATTAAGCGCGCAAGTTTTTTTGGTATCACACAAAAGGCACCTGATAGATTTCAGACGTCCAAGCTCTTTACGATTCGCCCCATGATCACTGCACGGCTTTCTTACGGTTCCGACGCGGAGATCGGCTACGCATCGATGGCGATAGGCATACGATGTTAAGTCCGTCGACCAATCGCTTTAGATCGAGAAGCCTGTGGCGCGGCGTTCATGCACGGAACAGCGCTAAAGGGCTTGTCCGAAAAGAACTGGTCGCGCCACTGCAGAACGCTGCTGAACAGCCGTAAGTTTCTGCATTTCGCGAATTTTGCCTATGCAGTTTTTTAGCGTTTCTCGCTAGCACGGTTGCTCATCCAATTTTTTAGATGGTTTTACACGGGTATCAACCGCGACTCGGCCTTGCACCTACTGGTACGTGGAGTGCAAACGACAACAAGGGTTTCAGATCGGCAATCCCGCGGCTAAAGACTTGTTTCTCGTGCGGACAAGTCCGGAAGATGGACTGGTTTTAGAACTGAAGTTAGTTTCTTAAACGGTTTATGCCTGTTTTCTTTGCAGAACCAATGCTCAAACCGTGAAAAGCTTTCCAATCTCGGACGTTGATGACGAGCTGTATATCGACGACAGCGAGCGGTTCAAAAATCTGCACGCACTGGTACAGCATTATTTAAAAGGTATATTTGAATGTGACTTGCGTGTTTCAATATGAGTAACAAAGAGCGAGATTTTTCAGCTGTTTGTCTTTCCTTAACGAAACATCACTCGTCATTTTAGGAAATGCGCTTTTCGAACACCACCCAACGAAGTATCCAAAGCGCAGCCATTACGCAATCGAAGGCAAGAGGCTGGTGTATCGCAAAGACAGCGACATGCTTTACAGCCCGGATATCTGGGAAATCGAGCGTCGCCAAATCATCTTCCATCGCAAGCTGGGCCAGGGATACTTTGGCAGCGTAGCTACGCGTTGGAAGTCATCTGAAATCTTTAGGTGCACCTAGCGAGGTGGTGCAACCTGACGGTGGCAGTGAAGATTTTGCATAGCAAGTGGGGGATGGGTGAAGACGGTGCCTGGGCAGCGTTTGACAGGTGGATGAAGTAGCGTGTCTATCTCGCTCGGTTGTCTTTGAAAGGCATACATACAGTTTTACATACATGCGTAGTTTTCGAAGTTACCCGGATCCATTTTTTAGGGAATTTTCCGAATTAAATGTACTCGACCACCCCAATGTACTCAGATTGTTTGGGGTAATTTTCAAAAAAAGGTATTGCAGGTTTTTCCGTTCAGGTGTGCACCGGAGAAACGCCATTTTACATCGTGACCGAATACGTGGCTGGTGGCTCACTTTTGGAGTGCCTTACTGGGAAGAATCCGCAGATTCCAAGCGACCTAATAGTTGAACAGGCCGTCAGCGTGCTGTTTCAGGTAACTTAGCCTGTTTGTAAAGTTAGTGGAGCGCAAATTTTAAAATGTAGGTAGCTCTTGGTATGGAATACTTACAGTCAACCGGTAAGATCCATCGAGACTTGGCGGCGCGAAATATTTTGTTGGATCGAAAGTCGGGTGACCGAATTAGCGCAAAGGTAAGTAAAACTTAAGCAATTTTAGGAGCATTCAGGTGGCCGATCTCGGCCTAGCGAGAAATCTACCTGAAAAATATTACTACAGTGGAGAATTTCCGGTTTGCTGGAGCCCGCCAGAGGTAAAAATCGAATTTTAGGGCTTTTTGAGGCTAGGAAAAAAACAAATTCGCGTTTAGGTGCTGCTCTCCCATAAGTTTAGCAAGTGCTCAGACATCTGGTCGTTTGGGGTGGTTGTTTTCGAATTGTACTCCCGGGGCGAGCAGCCGTACCACAAGGAATTTGGGAAAGGTATAATCTTAAGGGTAAAATGTTTCCAAACCATTTTTTTTAGTCCCTGGCGCCGTGGCGCTTTCACATTTTCTGGCAAAGGGTCAGAGGCTGGCAAAGCCAGATCTTTGTTTAGATACGTTATGGGAGCAGGTAACTAATAAAAGCTAAACGGATGTCGTTCTATTTAGGTGGCGTCTCCTTGCTTCGAAGAGAACTGGAACGAACGTCCGACCTTTACGGAAATCCTCGAGAGATTGAAGGTAGGGGAAGTTGCTTCCAATCCCAAAAGAATTAGGCTTGGCTGGGAGATATCTCTGCGCATCAAGGCCTCTTTGATCCTGACCTGCCGTAAGTTTCTTTCTGAAGTCAATGCAGTCACATCCAGTCCAGGATACTGGGACATAAACCATGAAGAAGTGGTGCTGGGCACGAAGGTGCATACTTCACCATTTTCGACGGCAAGTCGTTCTTTGTAATCTGAAATTTCAACATCGCCGTTCAAAATGCCGACCGCAAAAATGCCGACAGGCCAAAATCGCGAGCGCGCAAATGTCGACAGGTCAAGATCGCGGCATATTCTTGGCGCTAGTTAAGATGACAACTCCTTAGAAACAGCTAGTTCGCACGCGAGATTTTGGCTGTCGGGATTTGGGCCGCCGCGACTTTGGTTGTCGGGATTTCGACGTGGCCTTGAAAATTTACCGAAAACTGGTTTTTGGCTATCAAAATTCGAAAACGTGACTTGCTTGGAGGGTAGCTTTATCCAGCTTCTGCACAAAATATGTAAACCTTTGTATAACGCATTAATCCATACTTTTAGCTCCAACCCGGTATGTGGGATCGCCTCGCGATCATACTCAAGATTTCCAACAATGGCTTCGCAGAGCATGGCGCGGACCAGAGGTAAGCTTTAGGTCATGTTGGGAACCTCTGTCAGGGAAATTGCGATGCTCAAGCAACTGCGGCACCCAAATATTGTGGCTTTACTAGGGGTAAGTCAGATTGCAATCAGGTCTTCAAATTACGGCGTTCCGGCGGATGAGAGCCAATGCCCTGCCTGGATTTACATGGAATATTTCCCCTGGGGGTACCTGACGCAATACGTGGCCACGAAGCTGCGAGACAAAGATGCAACGTGGAAGGCTAGCATGATGAACAACTTTATCTGCCAGGTAAAAATAATGTTTATTAGCGGAGGCTTGGTGTTCGCTGCTTGACCACGCTTTCGTTGGGTCTTGAATTACCAGGGGCCATGAACCTGCTTACAAACCTTGTCCTGCGATTTCCTTTTTTGATTCCAGATAGCAAAAGGGATGGAATATATTCAAATGGTGAAAAGAAAAATTCACCTCAACCTCGCGTGTCACAACATCATGGTACACGAGTCAACACGGGGACCGTCGGTCAAGGTGGGATATTCCCGCTGCCATGAATTCACGTTCTTAGATCGCGTCCTTCCATTTTGCGTTGGATATGGCGGAACTGCAAAACCAAGCGTCCCTCCCGTACACGATGGAAAAGGTCCATTCATTTGGATTGGCCACCCTTTGGACGCCTCCCGAGGTAACAGAAAGTGCAAAACCGAGGCGTGATAATGGGCAAGGCAAGACTTGGAAATTCCCGTTTTTTAAACGTGCTAAGAAGTCTGGTCAACCCCCTTAAGCGTTGATTCCTGGCAGAAAGCCAGGGCGCGGCCGCGCCGTCAGCTCTGTTAGGCAGTGAAAACGCGCAAATTTTCAAACTTTGAGGCCAGTTCTGAAATCCTCACATGATTTTGAGCATTCTAGTAATTTTGCTAATTAAAATTGGCCTGGCTAGCAGGTTGAATTCCTCCGTTTTTCGTTCCATTCAGCTATTTTAAAAGTGTTAATTTTTACCAGGCCATCAGATACAAACAAATCACCGAAAACTTTGACGTCTGGTCGTTCGGGGTCGTCGTGATTGAGATGTTTTCTGAAGAGCGCCTATACAAACGTGAATTTGCCGAGCAACGGGAGTTGGCGAGATATCCCCGTAGGAGCTTATTTCAAGCAATGCTATCATATTATTCCAGGAACTAAAGCGTTGGCCACAAAAATTCTAGAATACCTTGAATCGGGGCAACGATTAAAGAGACCGGCCAATTGCCCGGCGCAAATCTATGATGAGGTATCTTAAAATTTTCGCTAAAAATTTTAACCGTTGGAATCAGGTGGTAATGCCGTGCTTCAAATACCAGTGGAGGGAACGGCCGAATTTTACAAATATTGTGCATATCTTAAAGGTTGGTTAGATACGCATTTTTTTTGCTTCTGTGGCGGATGAAAAGCCCCCTTTTGCAGAGTATTTTCAGAGAATCCGATTCCTCAACGAATGATGGCGGGTATGCAATGTCATTGACGGCAAATCCGATGATAAAGGCGCTTGCGTCTGTATGTCAATAATAAAAAGTTACCGTGAAACAGAGCAATTTCTAAAAGTTAAGTTTTGTACACATTAAAAACCGTATCAACAGCTAATCACCAGGCTCTGATACAACCCAGCAAACTTCAGCCCGACCTTTCAGATCGGAAAACCCAATCTCAGATTTTGATTACACCGGATGGAATTTGAATTCAATAGAGCAAATCATGATTCCATTTTCAGCTGTCATTTTGGTGACAGCTTGGAAAACGCCCCATCCAAAACACAAACGCAAAATAGGTTTTGGCGCGAGACAGAGAGAGAAGGCCAAATTTACCATTTTTTAAACTGGGTCTAATTAAAAAAAAACATTGTACTTTGCTTTCGAAGATTATATCCTCGAAAGCTTGCCGAAAAATGCCGAAAATGCAAAAATACTGAAAAATCCCGTAATTTACCTGGAAGCGGCAATATGGCTTTTAGAAAAACTGATTAGAAAATTTTACTCTCGAAAATATGACTCAACTTTAAGATGATTTTAACATTGCCATCGCAAATCTTCCAAAATGCGCTTTGAACTGGATTCTAGTCTCTGGCCCGCGCGCAAACACGAAGCAAAGGATCAATTCCAATAGGGTGGGGACCTGGAAATTGCCGTCTAACCAACAAGCGAAAAACGCCTCTAAACGGTTCCTTTAGAAAACGCCGAGATGATGGTGTTTGCGAATCGGTTCTGGGGCATTGACCACGTAATGGGATACCCCGATATTCACGCGAGGTGCCAAAAAATGGGTTGTGATTCGCGGTATAAAAGCACGGGTTCGGCGGTGGGAATCATCAACTGTCGAAGATGTTCTCTTCATCAACTGTCGTTTTGGTGAGTGTTATGGATTCTCAGCTCAGTTCAAGCTTAAGCAAGCTTGACTGACTTCGACTTTTTAACCTAAACTAAGCAAGCTTGATGCCTGACCTTGCTGATCCTAAGCTTAAACCCGCGCCTAATCAGGCTTGTGCCTGACTTCTGCTTGAACCTAAGCCCAAGCCTAAGCCTAAGCCTAATCATTCTTACGCATATTCCTAAACCTAAGCCCAAGCCTTTTCCTAAGCCTAGGCCAAAACCTAAGCCGAAACCTAAGCCCAAGCCTAAGAGCAAGCCTAACCTAAGCCTAAGCTAAGGTTAAGCCTAAGCCTAAGATAAGCCTAAACCTAAGCCGAAACCTAAGCCTAAGTCTATGGCAAAGCCTAACTCCAAGCCTAAGTCAAGGCCTAAACTGAAGCCTTTGCCTATGCCTAAGCTCAAACTTAAACCTGAGCCTACGTCAGACATTTGAAAATAGCCGCACTTCTCACGAATATCTTTTAGGCTGCCCTCCTCGGCGTCGTCAGCGCCAACTACGCTGTCTACAACATCAACAAGTGGGCCAGTAAGTCTGCTCTTTGTTACTCAACTATTTATTGAGCGATAAGATTAGCGTTTTTTTGTTATCATTAATAACTTGAGTACAATCTCACATTCCAGCTGAGGCCTGCGGGGCTCGCAAGAACGTGCGTCGCACCGACATCCGCGCCGTTTTTGACTCGACCGGCGCCAATACGTAAATTTCGCAATTACCTAATAGTAGCAGCGAAATCTTGCTTGAAATTGTCATAACCCATTACAGCGTTAAATTCTACGGCCTGAACAACGCGCCGAAGCTTGCTGACGCCATCGCCGACGACGCCAACATCCCGCTCCACGCCACGCTGACTAGCATGTCGAAGAAAGTGTCTGTTAAGAGCTACCTCAAGGTATCCTTCTTTCTTTCTCTCTCCCGCTCTCTTTCTCTCTCCCTCCCTCCCTCTCTCTCTCTCTCTCTCTGTCTCTCTCTCTCGCTCTCTCTATCTATGTATCTCTCTATCTCGCGCTCTCTCTCTAGCTTTTCCTCTCTGGCTCTCTCTCTTTCTCTCTCTGTCTCTCTCTCTCTGTCTCTCTCTCTCTCACTCACTCTTAGCCCTCACGAGCACATTTCTAGGGAAAGGCCACCGCTACGAAGTCGATCACCGCCAACGGCTTCCCGTACAGCAAGGGAGACGATGCCGCCATTATGACTCGGTAATTCCAGACCATTTACTCACCAATTTATTTATTAATTAGACGTTAAGGTAAAAACCGCTCTATTTCAGCTTCATCGCCAACAGCTGGAAGAGCTCGTCCGGCCTGATCCTCCAGATGAGCCAGTACATTAGCAACGGGGCCACCGTAAGGGTTCTAACCTAAAAATTACAGAATTTGAAATACATTGCCTACTTGTACCTACGTTTTTTTAGCTCCTCTACGACTACGAGCTTGCCCCGAACGCCGTCCAGATGGTCCCGATGTACCTGGCTGTCGATGGTGACTTCACTGGAGATGTGACCTTCTACCAGGCTATCCTGTAAGTGGTAGTAGAGCGAAAATTGCTTGACGACGACACCCATAACATTTTTTTTTTCTCTAGGTGCAACGACGGAACCACCTGGACCACCAAGGAAGACGCCCCCAAGACCACGGCCAAGTCGACCGTCGCCACCTCCTCAGGCACCACCGCCACCACCCCCACCACCGCGGCCGCCTAAGCAATGCCAGTTGTGTTTCTCGTTGTTCGCGATATGCGCCAATAAATTTTGCAGTCAATTTGTTCTGCCCTGCACCATCTAAGCCACAAATATCTTACAAAATAGGCTAAAAACATGTTTTCTACGGAAAATTGGTACTCTCACTTGCAAACCCGATTCTAGCCGAAAAGTCAGAGTTTTCTACATTTTCGAAAAGGCAAGCTCCAGTCAAAGTTTTTTTACATTTTCGCAAAGCGATTCTGGCCTAATCAACCAAAGAGAATACGTCTCGGGAATGTATCTTATCGGAAAGGCGGCGAAAGCTTGCAAGAAAAATTCACAAAGGTTTCAAGATCTTAGGCAAAACAACACGATTTACTCGCTTTACACCAAAAACTTATTAGGCAAAAGCCGGTTTCCCAGATATTTCCATATGCGGAACTTTAGTTCGCAGAAATCCCCTAAAATCCCCTTGCCCCGAAAAATCCACTACACCTACATTTTAGCACCTCGGAAAACGCCTCATACCGCAATTTTCTGAGAATTCAGGGTGGGTTCATCTTATTCATTGCATTTTATTTCCTGGCTTTATGCGAAAACTTCTGGACAGCGCTTGATTGAGCTTCTTACAGATTTGATGATGCGTGCTTCCAGCTAGCGGAAGTCTGGGCCGGAAGTTGTCACACCATGCCTCACGCACGCAAAAACTGATGCCGACTTTCAGCGTTCAAACCTAAAAAAACCAAACCTTTGTCCGGAAATAGCGATATGGGAAAATAAAGCCGACGAACTAATTACAGCGTTTCTATACGTTTTTTCCGCACTCCGAAACCGACATCAACGGCTCACATCTAAAGAAAATTTGAGAGCACGCGAGATTGCAGAAATCACGCTGTAGCTCGCTAAAAGGAATCCTATAGAATTCGAAATCCCATTTTTATTGTGTTGATGGGTTCTTTGTCGTTTCAAACCAAAATCCGCTCCGGAAATTGACAAAGAAAAACATGAAATTGGTTTCGGGGCACGCCTATAAAAGGTAGTATCAGGTTGGAAAGAAAGTAATGGCACAAAATCTTTAAACTGCTGTAAAAACCCGCAGGAACGTCTGATTTTAAAGTTTGATATATGGTTTGGTAGATCTTGGGATGCTCTATCACGAGATGACCCTCAAAACACCCAAAAACTAATGTACGCGAAAATCAGAACCTCAGAAGTTTCACGCAAAATTAGGTGAAAGCTTTTAAGCTAGATATCTCTGCATTCAGGCATTTGCATACGATACTTTCAACACCAATCGATAGCCCTCGAGGAGTAGATATCGATAGATGTTGAGATCATCAAAAACGGACACTGGATGGCTGAGATATGGGCCTTCCAAAATCAATGCATTTTCTGGATTCTGGTTCGGGAGCTGAAGCAAACGCAGCAGTTTTTGGCTCGCGCAGGCCAAAATGTATGGGATTTCGAGAAAAGTTCTAACAGGTGGACCAAAATTCTAGGGCCCATATCTCGGCCATCCATTGTCCGATTTTGATGATCTCAACATCTATTGATATCTACTCCTCGAGGGCTATCGATTGGTGTTAAAGGTATCGTATGCAAATTCTTGTATGCAGAGATATCTCGCTTAAAAGCTTTCACCTAATTTTGCTTGAAACTTCTGAGGTTCTGATTTTCGCGTACATTAGTTTTTGGGTTATTGAGGCACATCTCGTGATAGAGCATCCCAAGATCTACCAAACCATATATCAAACTTTCAAATCGGACGTTCCTGCTGGTTTTTACAGCGGTTTAAAGATTTTGTGCCATTACTTTCTTTCCAACCTGATAGATCGGTTCGAAAACCATCGAGCGCCGAAAAATGTTCTTCTACCAATCGGCCGTCATTTGGGTGGGTTATCACCTTTGCTGTATCCGGAAAATTATCGTTACCGTAAGGTGCTACGGTAGCTCAGATCCTCATCTAATCCGCTAATGCTCGTTCTCAAAAATTCGCTAAACTTCCGGTTTCCAGTGCACCCTCATCGGCATTATCAGCGCTAACTACGCCGTATTCAACATTAACAAAGGAGCAGGTGAGTATATTCACAAAAAAAAATACAAAATACACAAAAGAGAATAACCTTAAATTACGTTAATGGATATTTTAGCCAAAGCATGTGGCGGCCGGCCGAACGTACAGCGCACCGACATTCGGGCCGTTTTTGATAGCACCGGTGCGAATAAGTAGGTCCTTTAGAACATTTTTAGCGCTCTGAATTTAGCGTGAAATTCTACGGTCTGAACAACAAGCAGCAGCTGAAGGCCGCCATCGCCGCCAAGGCAAATATTCCGCTTGTCGCGACGCTGAACAGCAACTCGAAGACAGTCTCGCTGATGAGCTATTTCAAGGTTCCGGATTTTTGGAAACGTAGTCGTTTCGGTGACACAGAGTTGGAATCGCTTTCTAGGGCCGGCCCAGCAGTTCGCAGAAGCTCACCGCCGCCGCCAAGCCGTACACCAAGGGCAAGGAGGCGAAAATCTTGACAAGGTACTAAAAATTCGATCTAGCTTAATCCCATTAAAATTTTACTAGAATCCCGGTGCTATTCGCTAAAAAATTTTACAAACCGGAGACTTACTCATCAGAGAAAGCAAAGTGATTTCAGCTTCCAAGCAAACAGTTGGAAAAATAAGTCCGGTGTCGTCTTGGTAATGAGCCAATCCATCAACAACGGCGAAACGGTCAGCTCGAGCGATAAAAACTATAGTCGTCTTACCACACGATTTTTTTAGATTCTTTACGATTACACTCTCAGCCCGGGAGCCGTTGATATGGTGCCGATGTATCTAGCGGTTGATGGCGACTTCAAGGGCGACGTCACCTTCTATCAGTACATTGTGTAGGTTGCAGGATAGAGTTCCTAAACATTTGTCAAAAAATTATACACATGGTTTCAGATGCAAGAACGGGAAAACCTGGAAGAGTGGCCCCTGAGCTGATACTAAACGAAATCATACGAAACCTAGTACTAATCAATTGAATATCCACTTATTGATATGATTATTGATATGCTTTCATACTCAAATTTTGTTTAATAAAGCCTTCTTATATCTTTGTAGCCTTTATATCAATACTACGGCCGGCATTACCACGGAAATCGCGTGAACCACAGTTTTCATCTAAAAATCATTAAACCGCAAAATCTATCTTAAGCGACCTAGTGACATTTTAATAATCTCTTAGTTTGCGCCGAGACGATCCAAACAAAAGGTCTTTAAACATTAAATTGCACGAAAAACCATTTTTAAACATTTCCGCACAATTTTCTGCAATTTGTAAAACTGTGTCGGTGTTTCTGCAAGAAGCAATCTTGTTCACCAGTTCCCACATCAAGCGTCATGAAAAACAATGGTGAGGCGGGCCGATTTCAGTCACTCCGATCAGACAATTTATTGTTGTATTTGTTAGGGAAAAGGTTGGCATCGGCCGGAAGTGACCGTAGCCTAATAAGAGGACAGCTCAAGCATTTTTCATTTTTTTTTTGTCATCGGAGTTCGAGAGACATATGCAAAGTGAAGCATATTAAGGGGTTCACGGGGCCAGGGTTGAAAAGTGCGCAGCGCATTTTCAACCCTGGTATATTCTAATTTGATCGTTCATGGCCGGAAGTACGAATTTAAGACTTGGCAAAATTCAAATAGGTCGGTCCCTTTGCTGTTACGATTTGGAACCCGCCGAAACGACCCTTGCTAGCTGAGCGTTAACGAGCAGACTTCTTGAAGCTCATCAAACATGTTAGATCTTTGACCTGTGAGATTTGCAAACTAGATCTTTGGACACCAAAGCTGGGGCAGATGGACGATTGAGCTATGATGATGCGAGACCCGGTCTGAAATTGGCGTTGACCGGGCCCGCCAGACATTTTTAAACGATTTGCTTTCGAATTTTTAGAAATCACGGTGATGATGTCGGTTATGGAAAATTGACCGCGCAATCTACTCTTTGCAGATTCAATTAAAAATCCAGGAATGGTGTTCTGCTCTTCGCTATAAAAGCGTGGCAAGGCGAACAGGATACCATCAATCCTGAATCATGTTCTCCAAGGCGTTCATCGCGGTGAGTGGTTTTGCAATTTCGGGCGCAACGGGGTACGGTACCGCGCTACAGTATCCCAGGATTTTGCGATAGTTGCCTAACAATCTTTGCAACTCTATTTATCTTTGCAGGTGTACAGTTCACAGAGCCTTGCAAGACAAATTGGCTTTGAAAATGGGCTGCAGCACCCCATTTTTTAATCAATCATAGGATCAAAGCACTTTTACCGCTAACCGAATTCACAAAATTTGGGTAACCGGCCCAAAATCTACAAAAGAAAATCATTTAGTGTCGACAAAATTGCGTTTAGGTTGCCGTACTTCTCGGCCTGGTCAGCGCCGCTTCCCAAGTCTACAACATCGACAAGTTTTCCCGTAAGTTTACGAAATATTTTTTTGTGTGTGCTCCAGAAGAAGCTCGACGTTTCCGTCGATTCGTGTGCGAAAATCAAGTGATCCCCTTTCTAGGCGTCGCTTGCGGCGCTAGGAAGAATGTACGCCGCACGGACATCAAGGCTGTTTTGGACACGACTGGCGCTGGAACGTAGGTTTTTTATGTTCGTTAACTGAAACTATCCCTTAAACACTTAAAAAATTGATTTTAGACTCTCCTTCTATGGGCTGAACAATGCGGATACTCTGGACGCCGCCATCTCGGATAAAGCCAACATTCCGCTGGTTTCCAAGTTGACCAGCGGCTCCACGTCCGTCAGCGTGAAGACCTATTTGAAGGTAGCAAGATAGCAGTATCCAGAAAATTACAGTTTTTTAATTTCAGGGGAAGGTCTCCAAGAGCAAGACATTCCCCACCCCGGTACCGTACACCAAGGGCGACAAGGCGGCCTCCATCATGACACGGTAGGTTTGGAAGCCTTGCAGAAGACGTGTTTCAGACCGAAAAAATTAGCGAAAACTTAGGTGCTCGGGCTGGCATAGCTTTTTGGGGAAAATAGCCATTAATGCATCGACGGTGATATCGTTTCCTATCTCGGAATGAAGAAAATGCGCAGGAAGAATCTAGAAAATCCTCATTTTCCAGCTTCCAAGCCAACACCTGGAAGGATAAGAAAGCCGGCCTGATCATGCAAATGTACCAGTTTGTCAATGGGTCTACGGTAAGTGTACATTGAGCCAAAAATAAAACAAAAGTTTCAGAAGCTCTACGACTACGAGCTGGCCCCGAAGGCCGTCGAGATGGTGCCAAACTACCTGCGCGTTGAGGGTGACTATACCGGCAACATTCAGTTCTTCCAAGTCATCTTGTGGGTGAATATAGAAAGCTGTTGAATTAGGATTTTCTGCTTGATCGTATCTTAAAGGGATAAGGATCTTAAAGGGACCTGCTGAAGCCCCCTTGGGCTTACATTTTTTGGCAACTTTCCAGCAGGGCAGAGAGCGCGCCAAAGGGGAGAGACACAGAGACATTTCTTTCCAGCGCGTAATCGATTACCTATGCCGTCCGTAAGCCTTTAAAAAGGTCCAGAGTTCGCGAAAGCTGGCTAGCAAGGAGACGGTTTTTTAGCGTGAATTGGATTATACCTACTTTGCGTGGAATTTTGCGATGATTCCGAGCTTGCTCAAATTTTCTAGACGTAGTTGACGTGTTCCGCATGAAACAACATAAATTTTCGAAAATTTTGAAAATTCGCACTTTATAGCGCATTCGCAAGCGCTGATTTTTCCGAGCACCAGGTGCTACTTGGTTTTTTCTAGCAAAATTTTCTAAGTTTTTTACTCAGTCTACAGTTACAAAGCGTGCATCTTGGGCATTTTCAGAGCTAAAAAGACCCGTAACTACTTCAGAATGGTAATTTAACAGTTTTTGAAAGCAGATTCAAAATCAGCGCTAAATTCTGCACCAATAAAACCTGGTTTCGACGCAAAACTCCATTCGCACCAAACAATGCGCGTCGCGTGGCTGTACGTTTCAGCTGTTTCTAGAGTGGCTTAAAAGCTTAAAAAAAGCATAGTGATTCAGGTGCAACAACGGGAAAACCTGGTCGACGAAGAAGGACGGCCCGACGACTGCTTCTCCCCCCTCAACCGTGCCAACCACCGCTGCCGGCTAAACTTGCGCCACGAGCAAGGTCATCATCAGCTGGGTCCGCGAATAAATCCTGCATTGATATTGTTTCCGAAAGCAAAAGCACACTTCTCGCAGGGGTGGTCGATTTGAGAGCCGGCTCTGAGCCGGAGCTGAGCGACAGCAGGAGCCGAGCGAAAGCTGAACATCCTCAGATTTTTTTGACTTGCATTGCCTTATCTGCACAGATTACTGATTGCAGAATCCGGCTTGAGTTGAGCGGGTTTCAGCTCTCGCTCTTCACAAAAAGAGCCGGAGCTGGGCGGGAGCTAAGGATTTTCAGCTCCCGCGCCCGCTCTTGAGCGGGGCGCGGAAATCAGCTCCCGCTCTTTCGTGACCCTGACTGCTATCGTCAAAAATAGCCCCATACCGACTGCTCTAGCAGCTAAACGTTTGTTTGTAAATACGGGTATTTCGTACTCATTTTGCTAGTCAAATGCATAAAATCACAACGCCTAAATTCGGTACGCAAAAATTGGAATGGGTTTCAAAATGTTAGAATGTCAAAATGCATAAACCTCGTAACGACCAAACTCGGAATGCATAAATTTTACTTTATGGTTTCTGATTTTACACATTGTGAAAAATTCCGTTTGTACACTTCTCAATACACCATACGCTCATTTAACAAATAGGTCTTATCGGTTTTCCAACGTTGAACTTGCTATTTTTCATGGGGAATGACAGCAAATTTCAAAAAAATGCCAGTTATCACTTAACCATCAACCGTATTGCTCTACGTGAATTTAGAACTCGATTAGGCGTTAAATAATCTATTATAGAGCCATTTTTGTTGATATTATCGTTAAATTGCTGGTTGGAAGGCTGTCAGTGGTCCCTGCAGTCACCGGCATTTGAATTGGCGCCCGACCAAAACGGCGCTAGGCCTGCGGAGGAGCGGGGTCTGGAAGTATTAGTGGTAAAAAGATGATAGTTTATTTACTTGTATAGTTTCAGAACAAGATTAAAAACGCAAAAAAAAATTAATTCGGAATCAACAATCCTGTTTTACAGAATTTTTAGGTGTTATAGGACAACGCTTGAGAATAATAGCTAGAAATGTCCACGAAGTAAAGTAATGCTAGTACACGAAACTTTGCCGATCTTTCATTCGTAGATTTCTTTCATTCATACATTTCTTCGCCGGTTTTATTTTAACAACTTATGGACAAAACTCTTCTATTTTATGTCGTTCTTCCGTAATTTCTGTGGGATTTTGTACCATATACCGTATAACCCCAAAAATCTGGATTGTTCCTTGAGAATATATGGTCCTCAATCCTCCTCGATTCAGATATTTTCGTTGAAAATTCATTTTTCAGTTCATCAAAATTTTTAGGAGCTTGTCCGCGCCTTGGATGATTTCACCAACAAATTGTCGATTCGTTGCAATTGGCATGGAAATTGCTCGAGTTTTTTCGAGAGTTGATGAGAATCAGAAATATATGTGAGATAACATTAAAAATATGAACAGCCATTTAGGTAATCTTTTCTTGGTTTCACGAACTTGTGGAAGGCCGTGGAGTATCATACCAGATCCGGTACGTGGACGTTGCGTGCGTTGATGCCGCTATGCCTTAAAATAAAGTGTTTTGGATTTAGCTTGGAATTTTGGAATGGGCCCACGCCTATCTTTGCAGGATTTTTCTTCATGAATTTTGCACAAGATAGTCGTGGTGCTATCTCGAAACTCATCCTGACCCAAAAACACTTTGCTGTTAGCCGATGACCAAAAACAGGATTCATTTCCCGAAGCCTTTCCATAGCGATTTATTGGCGCTAATGCATTTGGGGGGGGCAGTTAGAAATTGGCAGTAAGCGGTTACGAGGCGCTCCGCTTAAGCTACCTGGTTTTTAGCTTAAGCTTAGGCTTAACTTAGTTTGAATATGCTTAGCTTAGGTTTAAGCTTAAGCCTAAGCTCAAGCTAAGCTCATCTTAAGCTTTAAAATGCCTGACGAGGTCAAAATGAGATGATTTAGGGTTTCGTAAGATAAGCTCGACTTGGTTCAAGCTCTGCCTTCATTTGTATGAAAGCAAGCCTAAACTTAGGCTTAGCTTCGTTTTTCCAGCGGCTTAGAGTTTAGAAAACGGCATTTGGAGCGTCTCGTAGTCAAAATCCGCGCTCCCCCCCCTGAAGTGCACTAGCACCGATGTAGTAATAAACGTATATATGTAAACATATGTATAATTTTAGGTCAAACGGGCCTGGAAGAATGACGTCGTCGTGATTTTGCTGCCAAGCAACAGGAACTACCTACCCATATGGAGAATGGAAAAGATATTTTAAGAGGATACGTAGGCTCAGACCAGATTCTTCGCGGACATAGCCAATGATTTCCTCTTTTTGGACGCAGCCAACGTCAAAATTATTTGATTATTCTATGAGCTCACAAAAATTTATTAAGTTGACTTGCAATCATTGAAATTTTTAGTTAAACTTAAACCCCATTTTAAGCTGTTAACCCCCAAAATCACAGATTTATGTGTAAACTATCATCTTAAATCTTTCAAAGACATTTTATCCAATGAATTAATGAACCCTATGTTTTAAGTCAACGGTTGGATGAATTTCCCTTGTTCACCGAGCTACCTGCGTTGTACCCAAGCTTCATTTGTTTTTTAAAAATGTTAAGGATTGAATCTACAAATTTTACCTAATTTCCCGAGTTATCCGCAATGTATCTAAATTAGATGATTTTTAAAGTGATCCTTGCCCTGATCTTAGCTAAGTCCAGCGCCTTTTTTGCTACCGTCCCTTTAAGCCACCTCCATTTACAGCCAAATGTTTACGCGAAATATGTTTGTTTTCACAAAAGAAACTCGGAATCGGTGGTGTTTTTTGAAATTATAGTAAGAAAAATTAAAGAAATGCAAAAATTCGCCATGATCGAAATATTTGATGACATCAGATGAAAAAAGTCCCCCGTGTTCGTAGAATTTTTCAAGTTTTTGTGACGACGTTGAGAAGCACCTAAACGGTGACCAAATAATAATCCGAAACAAAATTCACAAAAAAAATGGCGACACAACGATTGGAGAGCTCATTGCAATAGCAGCCGGGAGAGAAGAAAAAAGGAATTGAACTCTTAGCACCCGTCCCGGCCTGAGCTACTATTATTTTTACCACAACACGAACAGTTCAAATTTTAGACATCGTGGATTTGCTGAAAGAAGCCCAACAGAATTCATGAAAATCTACCGAAGAAATGGGACAAAATTTGAAGCCAATAAAAGAAAATGAAAAATCTCAACGAAAAAGCTGCGTTCCCTTGGTTTTAATGGATCGACCTGTCGGTAGCAGAGTCCAAGTTCGCGGAGCTAAAGATAAGATCCTGCATGATGATTTTACGCAGCCAAGCACGACGCCAAGTATGCGTGTCAAATCAAACTTTTCGCTACAGGTCTACCTATAATCCCTGCTATGCACCAACCTCGAATATGAATTTGAAAACGATACTTTAGCCCATACGTTAGTGGCACGGTTCAGCTGCTGTGCGAAACTAGCGCACAGATTGAAAGGTAGTAAAAAAATTGAGCTATCTCTGATCTAATATATTCGTATCTCCACGTCTTGAAAACGCTACAAAAATCGTTTCAACATGGCCGAACTAAGGGACAAGGGCCTTGAAAAACTACTCTATCTGGCAAAACGCCCCGTAACACCCACTCCCGGTATGCTATTTGCAGCAAAACTGCCCAAAATTTCCAAAATCGATAAGCAACGCCAATAACGGAGACGTAGTACGTGCCGAATTTATGGAAGTTGATGTCTGGAATCAATTGACCGCCCCGGAGCCTGGCACCAAAAAGGTAACGTATGTGGCAAACAAGCCAAAATAAAGTGGAAAAATTCGCCCTCTACGAAGCTCCAAAATAAAGTTACGCAATGCTAAAGAAAAATGGATAATACGGCTTGAAAAAAATCGAAAAAGGCAACAGAAAAAATCGACAGAGATCCCAAGGTCGAAATGGTCCCATGTTCCATCAACAAAATCAACCAGCTAGGCTGCTGTAACTAAATCGAAACTGGCAAAGTCAAAATCAAGAATCGGGCTAAATCGATCGATATAAAACGCGATGCCAAGCCCAATGGTGGATATATGTTAATTACCCCCCGGGATACAGCGGTTACCATAAATACAGCCTAAAAATGTAGTCATTCGAATTAGACACAGAATCAAATTTACCTCAATCGATTTAAAGATTCAACCAATCACCGAAAATACCCGTTAAAAAAATAGTCGGAGATTAATATTATACGACATCAAAAGGGATGCTAAACCCATAAGGTCTACGCCTTTCACCCTTAAGAAAAATCTAACTTTTACTATGCTCCGAATCAAAAATCATTACAAATTTTACAAGGGTGTATGAAGATTAAAAAATTTTATCCATGGTTTCCCTCAATCAATCAATAAACGACAATCAAGCAAGCCGGACCAAAAAACTTTCGGCATCAAGCGAGACGCTAAGGCCGGTGGTGGCTCTATGGCCTCTACTCTTCAGGCTTATGGCCTTGACCACAATATGGGAATATCAGGTCATCGCTATTGTATGGTCATCAAGTATTCAAATGGCAAACATTGTGTTCCTCGCTAAAATGTTCGTGCTTTCAACTCAATACCAGGAACTTCGTTCTGGAGCGCGTGCAAGAGTACGAATATCGGTATGGAGAAAACACGAGCGGCCGAGAAGAAATGAGAGAAACGGAAAACCAAGTGTATGAATAAGTTTATTACACCAAGTCTAAAAACTGCTGAACAAGGTGAAAAATGCTTTATTTGTTTTATTGATCCGACTTGGTCAATCGAAAATTGGGGCCTTGTTTGAACAACGCTTCGGGAAAGCAAGTCAAAGATATTTTTTTATAACCAAAAGAAAAATTGCGAAAATAAGCATGGGAATTCAACGCCACACTATTTTCACGTCTTCTTCAGCCATTACTGCAAAAGGGCAAAAATAATAGCGAAAAGCATCATGAAATCGGGCAGCGTGCTCAGTTGTGATGATGAATTTCGAGCTTGACCCTGACGACCATCTTCAGAAGCGATTTTCGAAATGTATTTAAAAATATTACAATTAGACATTTTGACGTCAAAAGCGCCACCCTACACACAAAATTGCTTTGGCACCACGCACAAAGCGTCAAAATGCCCGCACGTAGCTGATTTCCCGGGCGAGGCACCAATTTTGTTGTGGCCCGGTTTCTCTTTGTGAATCTTTTCCCTTTTATATACACCTTTATTCTCCAACACAGCGTAAGGTACAGTGCTTTCAATAGGTTGTTCGGAAGACTGCCGTTCGTACAATCGGCAGGGGTTTTATATGTGGTGGAAAAAATGAGAAATTGTTCAACACCAGGCCGATGAAAATCGCTGCGCGAAAACAAACCAAACTGGCTATAAAATTCGCATGCTGACGAAGAGGAGCAAAAGGTGTTCATGTTCAAATCATCAAGTACATGGGAAGCGAGAGGGCAGTGACGTACTTTACAGCACGCACGAGATGAAATAATTTGATGGGGATTTAAATAACGGCCTATGAAAAAGGCTACGTCAAAAAAGAACCAAAAAGGATATGGAATTCGTATGCTGACGACGAACGGAGCTCGAAACGCGTAAAAACTGCGCGAAATGCGATAGCACAATTCTTATAATTTTTTTATTACGTAAATGGGTACAAATTTTCAATGGACGTGAATACACGCCTTAAACTGAAGACCAATAATACCCTAATCAAAAAATTTAAAAACAGAAGTGTCGAACCAACCAGTTTGGTTTGGTTTCTCGGAGACATATACAAGAGAGAGGTCGTAAAAGATCTCAGAAAATCAGTATTCCTCTGGAGTATAAAAAAGTAATAACTACAGAATATGCCGTTCCGGGCTAGAAAAAATCCGGAAACGGATAATTGTTCCTGGAAAGACATAAACGCAAACGGCAAAAGAATTATGAAAAACGCGGAAAACTAGAGGACAACAGTGAAAAAAAGAAAATCTGTCGGGAATAAATATATAAATCGTTCAAAGACGAACCCACGAAAATGAACAATGAAAAACCCAGAATAGAATTCGGCGTACCTCAGTGTCTGATACAGAACGAAATTGTCCAAATTGAAGGGATTCGTCATCGAGATAGATTGAAGCACGGCGACAAACGATCAGTACGCGCGTAATTCCATAAATACCGTGAGTACAGCTTTGTGAAGATGAAAATCCCCCGTTTGGGCTTGTTTACAAAATACGATGCTCATCCTCGTTTCTGTAAACACAACTCTGTGCGGAAAGATTTACCCTCGATTATCCTCAAAAAATCAGAGGAACGGAAAACGGTAGAAGAGGCCTGAGCATAAAAAGAGTAATAACTACAAAACATGCCATTCAGCGCTAGAAAGAAACCCCCGGAACGAAAAATGGTGCCTGGAAAGAAGTCAGACAAAAAGGCAAAAGAATTATGAAACAAGTTGGAGGCTAGTGGATAGCAGTAAATGGAAACATGATGCTAAAGAATATCAGTCAATAATTTTTAACGGATCCGCCCCTAAAAGACGAGATTATACGGATCGATTAGGTTAAGGCAGAGAAGCACATGAAAGGGAGGTAACGATAACGTATTCATGTACAAATTGAAAGATTTTCCGGAAAGTAGAACACAACCACAGGAGCTAAACGATAACCACGATAATGCACCGCTGCCTGGAATACTGCTTAGAAATGATATCCTTCCAGTATGGGCTTGTGTCCAAAAAACGAGCTCGTCCTCGTTCGCGATCCTACGATCCTATGAGGAAAGATTTAACGTTAATCACGCGTCGTCTGTGATAATCGGCCAAAATAATTTTAATCACTGCTTTGAATTTAATTGATTTTATCGAATTTAAACCAAGCAAACAGAAAAACAGAGCACTTGTACCTTGGAAGCGAGGATGCAACGTTTAGCTATCCAACTGCACCAATCCGGTGTGCGTCGCGTGCCCAACAAGCAGCTCATCGCCCAAAGCAACTTTAATCATTGCGTGAATTCAGAAGAAATTGTAACAATTGCATGGAAGAAATGGGCCAAAACTACAAACATTATGGTTAAAACAACGCATAATAAAGTTAAAGGCTGTAATTTGTAAAGGTAATCCCGAGAGCTACTACTGCTTGCTCGAGCTAAAAAAACGATGGATCGATGACTCTAGCCTCGAATAGAGTCTGTCATTCTAAAAAAGAACAAAAATAAATGAAGTGCACTAGTCGAAAATTAGATGTTCCTGGACTCTTTGACTCTTTTCCGGAACAGC